GAACTCCTCCATTATTTTATAAAATTCATCATCACAATTGAGATGTATCATTAAATTTAATGCTTTTTTAGACATTCTATATCCTTTAGCCCAACGTGTCTTTTCACTAATTGATTTTTTCAAGGCAGAAGTAAATGCATTAGGAGCATGAAATTAAGACAAATATCCAAAATTAATTACATTGCTAACATTATTAAATAATAATGGTTGATTAGTTTCACCACATAATCTAATAGGTTGAAGTGTTGCAATAAGATCTTCGTCATTATTTATCTTATTACTTTTATACCATCGATTTGAAATAAAAGAAATGTGAAATCTAGCAAGACGAGATTTTGTCAAAACTTTAAAGAAATGACAACAAACAATCCTTTTAGTGATCAAGGTAAGACAAATACATAAGTGCGTGCCATCTGCAAGTATTATGACGTGATTACTGAAATAATTTGAAAAAATTCTTTGTCGAGTTATATACCAGACCTGTTCAACATATTCTCTTCTTAAGTTTTGCAATAAGGATTTGAGACCTATCTGGAGCTGCTCATAATTGTCTTCACGACATCCATTATCTATAATATTCTCAGGTTCTGAAAAAAAATTGTCACACTCAATAGAAAGTTCAGCAGCATCATAAAGAAGCTTTCAGAAAGTTGCTGCCTTTGAAACAAAAAAACATGTGGAGTTAAGTACTCTCGGAGTAAGGAATCAATGGCTGGAAAATAATAACTTGCAACATGAGGTAATCCAATAGTAAGATTCATATTCTTTTGTTCATTTATTCATACATAATACGCTTCCTCATTTAGACAATTTTGTATTGTATCAACTAAATGTAGTAATGTTGTGCTACGTGAAACTTCTTTTTTAATAATTCTATTGATACTTTCTATTCGCTGTGTACTTTGGATACTAGCTGTAAAACATGTTTGTGTATAACATATGGCCTAGCTATGACGTGTAGGATAAAGTGTTTCAAGTGCATAGCGAAAAGCTTTAGGAAATGGTTCAAGAAACACAATAAATTCCGCCCAATGACGCTCAAAATTAGCCTCAAATAAACTATTACGAGAACGATAAAAAAGCTTATAACATTCATTAAAATTAGTACTCATAATCGGCTTAAGTTTTTTAATAAAATTGTTGTTCATATGAAAGATACAATGTGAATGATGAGTATCCGGCCATAGATTTCTCAATGCTGCACCTATGGCCGGGTCTGTATCTGAGTAAATAGTTTTAGGAATAATGCTATTTGTTGCAGCATTTATTTGTTCCAGTACCTATTCATAAGAAGCCTGAGTCTTATCTTCTAAAATTGCTTGTGCTGTGATACGTGAACGAGTATCATTATCAATAATTAAAAACAAGCACAAAGCCATTTCATATCAGTTTGTTTTGCAGGTGTTGTCAGTTATTACAATATCACAAAATTGAGACCATAGCAACACTTGTAAAGGGGATATCCAAAAAAGTGCAGTTAACCTGTTTTCTTCATCAATTTTAGATACTACCACCCATTGAGGATCCTCTGTTTTTAAAGCTAATAAATGATGCAAAGTTTCTGTAGTATCATTCTTTATTTTTTCAAGAGATGGTGATTTGAACCGTTAAACAGCATTATATATATCCTTTTTATTAATATACTTATCAGGATGTTTCACTCGTAGAATATTATATTGCATTTTAGCACCTATGCCTACAGTATGACAAGTATAAAACTTTATATCTTCAAGCATT